CATGAGTAAAACTGCATCTCAAAAAAAAAAAAAAAAAAAAAATGAAATCATGTCCCTTGCAGTGACATGGATGCAACTGGAGGCCTTTATCCTAAGTGAACTCAGAAACAGAAAACCGAATACCACATGTTCTCACTCATAAGTGGAGCTAAACAATGGGTACCCATGGACACGAAGATGGAAATAACAGGCCGGGAGGGGCGGCTCACACCTGTAATCCCAGCACTTTAAGAGGCTGAGGCAGGTGGATCACAGGTCAGGAGTTTGAGACCAGCCTGGCCAACATGGTGAAGCCCCGTCTCAACTAAAAATACCAAGAATTAGCTGGGTGTGGTGGTGGACGCCTGTAATCCCAGCTACTCAGGAGGCTGAGGCAGGAGAACCCATGAATCAGGAGGCGGAGGTTGCGGTGAGCTGACATTGGGCCACTGCACTCCAGCCTGGGAGACTCGGTCTCAAAAGAAAAAAAAAAAAAGATCAAAATAACAGACACTGGGGACTCCAAAAGAGAGGAGAGGAAGTGGGGCAAGGGCTGAAGAATTACCTGTCAGGTACAATGTTCACTCTCTCCCCTTTCGTCAGGGGCACTCTGGGTGCACTAGAAGTCGGCCCCCACCAGCATGCAAAATACCCAGGTAACAAACAGGCACTTGTACCCCCGAGTCTAAAATTAAATTAAAAATTTTAAAAGCCTCATTCAAAACAACTGTTAGCTCATGGCATTAAGGAATTTCTGTTAATTATCTTTTAGGCATTACAAGATATTATGGTTACGTTTTTTAAGAGACAGAGTCTCTTAAAACTCACAGCTCACTGCAGCTCTGGGCTCAAGCGATCCTCCTGCCTTGGCCTCCTGAGTAGTTGGGACCAGGGGTGGGAGCCATGGCTTTCAGGCAGAGGTGATTTTTAAAAAGGTTTCCCATCTTTTATCAATATGTACTGAAATACTGATACATGCAATTTTATTCAGTTTTTTTTTTTGAGGCCCAGTCTTGCTCTGTCATCCAAGCTGGAACGCAGTATCATGACCTCAGCTCCCATAACCTCCACCTCCCAGGTGCAAGCGATTCTCCTGCCTCAGCCTCCCAAGTAGCTGAGACTACAGGTGCCCAACACCACACCTGGCTAACTTTTGTATTTTTAGTAGAGCCTGGGTTTCACCATGTAGGCCAGGCTGGTCTCGAACTCCTGACCTCAGGCGATCCACCCACCTCGGCCTCCCAAAGTGCTGTGAGCCACTGTGCCCAGCCTAATTTTATCTTTCATCATGTATGGGACTTGCTTCAAAATCCCTCAGGGTGGGGCAAATGGACGGATGGGTATGAAGGAGTCATGCGTGAGAACCGGTAAAGGGCCGGGCCGCACGAGCCGGGAGGGTCTCTCTTCTACACACGTTCAAGATCTCCTGAGGTTCTAGAATGTGTTTAATGAAATGAAACATTCATCCACTGCAATCGGAGCTCAAAATGTTATGTTTGGAGAGCTCCTCAGATACTCCAAGCACCCCAAGTGCCCACCTCCCAGGGAGAGAAGCACACACTCTTCACCCCATAGCCCACCCTGGCAGCAGAGAAATGGCACTACCCATCTGAGGCCAGGGAAGATACAATCAGGAGGGGCAAAGGTTTCTGGGGCCAGAGCATGTGGAAAGGTGGACATGCCCATGCTCAAGCCCCCTTGCCCAGTCCCCACTCCCCACAACCTGGAAATATCTTTTTTTTTTTTTTTTGAGACAGAATTTTGCTGTTGTCACCCAGGCTGGAGTGCAATGGCACAATCTCGGCTCACCACAACCTCCGCCTCCTGGGTTCAAGCAATTCTCCTGCCTCAGCGTCCCAAGTAATTGGGACTACAGGCACACGCCACCATCCCCAGCTAACTTTTGTATTTTTAGTAGAGACGGGGTTTCACCTTGTTGACCAGGATGGTCTCGATCTCTTGACCTCGCGATCCACCCGCCTCGGCCTCCCAAAGTGCTGGGATTATAGCTGTGAGCCACTGCGCCTGGCCTCTTTTTTTTTTTTTAAGAGATGGATTGCAATGGCTCAATATTGGCTCACCGCAACCTGTGCCTCCCAGGTTCCAGCGACTCTCCTGCCTCAGCCTTCCGAGTAGCAGGGATTACAGGCATGCACCACCACACTCGGCTAATTCTCCATGTTGGTCAGTCTGGTCTCGGACTCCTGACCTTGGGTGATCTGCCCCCCCTCAGCCTCCCAAACTGCTGGATTACAGGCATGAGCCGCCTCGCCTGTCACGACCTGGAAATATCCCGCTTGCCCAACCCAACAAGGCTTTTATGAGCCCAGTATAAAAAGGATGAAAAAGGAAAAGCTGGCCCCCCCTCAACCAGGGCCCACCCCCACCACCAGGGCCCACCCCCACCACCAGGGCCCGCCCCCACCAGTGCCCGCCCCTGCTGCCTCACCCACCCAGCCTCTTCCAGGTGCTTCCTCTCCAGGCAGGAGACCACACTCCTGGCCCATGCAGGGACTTCACCTCTCTCCAGCCAGAGGGCACACCTGCTCCCTACCTTTCACCCAGCTGGGAGTGGATGCAGCCTGGCGGCTTCTCCCATCTCTGAGTCACCAGAAACAAAGCTGGAGGACTGCAGGAGACTTGGCTGCCATGGCTTCATGGAGGCCAACCAACCCCAGTGACTGGCACCCAGCTTCTGGGCCAGCCTCACTCCAGACCCGGGGCAGAGGGTACCTACTGTCTCTAAAACCGAGGCACTCATAAGAATGGAAACCAGATGGGCCGGGCGTGGTTGCTCACGCCTATAATCCCAGCACTTTGGGAGGCCGAGGCGGGTGGATCACGAGGTCAAGAGATCGAGATCATATAGGTCAACATGGTGAAACCCCGTCTCTACTAAAAATACAAAAATTAGCTGGGCATGGTGGCGCATGCCTGTAATCCTAGCTACTCAGGAGGCTGAGGCAGGAGAATCACTTGAACCCAGGAGGCAGAGGTTGCAGTGAGCTGAGATCGCGCCATTGCACTCCAGCCTGGGTGACAAGAGCAAAACTTCGTCTCAAAAAAAAAAAAAAGAATGGAAATCAGATAAAGCCATTTGTACCACTCCCCTGCTCCTTCCCTCCCTGGCCCTAGAGGGTAGAGGTTCCCAGACCAGAGTCTGAAAACCACCGATAGTGGTCAGAATGGTTCCTGCCTTGATATACCCCTGCATGGAAAGCCAACCTGAGGCCGGGTGCGGTGGCTCATGCCTGTAATCCCAGCACTTTGGGAGGCCGAGGAGGGAGGATCACTGGAAGTCAGGAGTTCAAGACCAGCCTGATCAACATGATGAAACCTCGTCTCTACTAAAAACACAAAAATTAGCTGGATGGAGTGGTGGGCGCCTGTATTCCCAGCTACTTGGGAGGCTGAGGCAGGAGAATTGCGAGAATTGCTTGAACCCAGGAGGCAGGGGTTGCAGTGAGCTGAGATCATGCCATGGCATTCCTGGGTGAGAGGGTGAGACTCCCTCTGGAAAGGAAAGGAAATTAAAGGAATGGAAAAAGGGAAGGAGGGGAGGGGAGGGGAGGGAGAAGGCCCTCAGCATGCCTTTCTGTAACATACTTAGCACAAATGGAATCCCTCAAAGTAAATTGGGTCTGCGGCCTCACCTCACTGGCATAAACAGGACTGGGGCCACAGATGGCTAACCTCACCTTCCTGCAAACAGACAACGGCCAGGTGAGGCAGGTGAGCAGCTGAGACTGGGGCGGACAAGACCAGGGCCACGGGCACAGAGCTCTTCTGAGGACCTGGAGCTCAGGGAGGAGTGGGTTAGGTCCAGTTGGAAGGCCAGTCACTAACAAATTCCTGGACCTCAGATAAGCCTCATGAAAACTTTGGGAGGCCAAGACGGGCAGATTGCTTGAGCCCAGGAGTTTGAAACCAGCCTGAGCAGCCTCATCTCCACTAATACAAAAATAAGCCAGGGGTGGTGGTGCACACCTGTAGTCCCAGCTACTTGGGAGACAGAGGGGTGAGGCTCACCTGAGCCCGGGAGGTCGAGGCTGCAGTGAGCCGTGATCATGCCAGTGCACTTCAGCCTGGGTGACGGAACGAGATCTTGTCTCTCTCTGTCTCTGTCTCTCTCTCTCTCTCTCTCTCTCACACACACACACACACACACACACCAGTGAACTTTACTATATTATACAGCGAGACTATCTTCTGTCTTAAATGCTCTAAATCGCAGTAGAGAGTCACACCTACGCACCCTCCTGCAAGGAACAAATTCAACGTTTCGCTGAATTGGTTAGAATGTCCACCCTCCCTCCCCCGCAACCTGGCAAGTTTTTTGTTTATCTTTGTTTTTGTAGAGATGGGATCTCACTATGTTGCCCAGGCTGATCTCAAATGCCTGGACTCAAGCAATCCTCCTTCCTTGGCCTCCCAAACTGCTGAGGTTATAGGTGCCCAGCCCTGCATAAATGTCTAAGGTGCAATAGATACAACCTCTTCTCCCCGTCCCCAGAATGCAGGGCTCATCTTCCCCGTCCAGATTTGAGCATCTACAAATGCACACAGTGCTACTACGCACATGCGAGGCACACCCGAATGCCGCCACACTCTGCACATGCTCCTGCAACTTGCCTCTCATCCACACTGAGTTCCGAGCTGCCCCACGCCCACCCACGTGGCGCTGGCCCTGCTGTCCTGCACCTCCCTGCTGGCAGGGTCCAGTCTGCCCCCGTGTCCCTGCTGGCTCAGGGGGCTTCTGTGTTCACTTCTTCACTGTTGCAAACCAAGAAGCAGAGAGTGGCCATGTCCGTGTTGCAGTGCCCTATGTTAATGCGGGTAGAAAAAGACCGAGTGGTGTTCATGGGCACCCAGCCTCTGGGGCAGCCTTCCTCATGCCTGCCCTGCCCTGCCCGCTCTACCAAAGGTCCAGGTCCCTCTCGACATGGCCATCCTGTCCTCTTTGCCCTCGCTGAAGTCCTGCCTGCTGCCTGACACCCATCTCCCTGTGTCTCCCAAGTCACCTTTCCCAGGGCATCGGACTGCCCTGCCCACCTCACCACCGCCACCACGTTGGCCCTGGCCAGGGGCTTCTTGAAGAGCGGGCACACTCCACCACTTTGCAGCCTGTGTTCCTTTCACTTCTGTGTGTCCAGAATGAGCCACCTATCCACTGCAGCCAGGCCTGGGTTTCAGGGCCCTCCACCCGCCACCATTGTGGCAGTCCATGGTCAGGCTCACTGCCTCCTCTCCTCCCCAGCACCTTTCATAAAGGTCAGGAGACTAGGGCACCTGTGTGCTCCAACTCCCCTTCCCGGAAGCCTTCCCTAGAGTCCAGGGCATGCCCTGCCAGGCTGAGCACAGTGGCAGGGAGCCCAGGCACAGTGGCACAGAGGAAGGGCCCTCAGGCCAGCTGGCAGCCAGGCCTGCGTCTGGATCCTGGCCACCGACACTGGCAGCCTCTCTGCTCACCCCTTCGGCCTTCCTGAGGCTGTAGTGAGGAGGGTGGCAGGGGCACCACATGGCCCGAGGCTTGGGCAAGCAGGCATCCGCCTCCTTGGGCTGGTGGGGGCTCTGACACATCCCACTCATGGTGTACAAAGAAACCGTTAGTCTCCATGGACCAGCCCCACTTCCTGTTCCTGCTTCCTCCTGGGAGAGGCCACTAGGCACTCAAACTGGCAGTCCCTCTGCTGTTGCCTTGGGCCTCTCTGGCTTCTGAGCTAGCAGGTGGCTCCCCGGTGCCCCAGAAGTCAGACAGTCCCCAGAGCATACTGCACCTGACCTTCCTGCTCTACCACGAGTGAATGACAGAGGGGAGAGGTTAAGTTCTCTTTTCACCCATCTGTATTTTTCTGTATTTTCTCATTTCTTTGAAGATGTCTTCTTTAAAGACGAGGTCAAGCACATCTTCACCCAGCCAAAACTTCATCAGCTGACAATGAATCTTACCTGCTCACATGCCCACATCCTCCCCAGGGTTTCTCTTACTGAGAGTGCCGGCGCCTGCCCTGCCTGGGGAGGAGCAGGGATGGTCTAGGGCTGTTCACTTCAGTCCCCAAAACCTGCTGATGTGACGGTCCCTGGGCCCCTGGGCCCCACCAGCGACACTTCCCCTCTATGGCCCAGCCCTAGCTGGGCAGCAGCAGCTGTGCTCTTGCCCCTCTCCCAGGCCTCCTTTCTCCAAGCCACCCCACACCAGAGACTTCCTAGAGAGACCTGGCCAACTGCTCTTTAATCCACGTGACTCCAGGGGCAGGCCTATCTGCAGCCCCTCTCCTGAGACTTTCTTCCATGCCCAGATCTGAGACATATCACAGCCCCAGTGGGAACAGGTGGTGTCCCTGGGGACGAAGTTGACAAGGCATGACCACGGGGATCCAAGCCACACAGCAGGCACCACATGGCCCGAGGCCATGTGTCCCAAGTTCAAGGGTGTGTCCCAAGTTCAAGGATGGCCAGAGGAGAGAACACTTTGACTGGAAAGAAAAGCAGAAAAGAGCAGGAGGAAGAAAAGTTAAAAAGAAGAAATAGCCGGGCGCGGTGGCTCACGCCTGTAATCCCAGCACTTTGGGAGGCCGAGGCGGGTGGATCACGAGGTCAAGAGATTGAGACCATCCTGGTCAACAAGGTGAAACCCTGTCTCTACTAAAAACACAAAAATTAGCTGGGCGTGGTGGCGCGTGCCTGTAATCCCAGCTACATGGGAGGCTGAGGCAGGAGAATTGCCTGAACCCAGGAGGCGGAGGTTGCGGTGAGCCGAGATCGCGCCATTGCACTCCAACCTGGGTAACAAGAGCGAAACTCCGTCTCAAAAAAAAAAAGAAGAAGAAGAAGAAGAAGAAATAAGAAAACACAGGAAAAATACAGGTGGATAAAAAGAGAACCTAACCTCCCCGCTCTGTCATTCACTCGCTCCCTCAAATCATCATGGAGCCCTCAGACTGGAATCCTGAACTAGCCCTGGGAAGGGACTTGTGGAGGAGGCCACTCTGGGTCAGTAGACAGGCGACCCCTTGGGGACTGTTCCTTACTTAGAACCCCTACTTGCTGTGTGCCCCCCAGGCCAGCCATGGGGTAAATCGGAGGTGGTGGCAACACCCCAGCGGCCTCCACCATGCCAAAGACATCTTGTTGTCCGGCCTTGTCGTGAGGCCATGGACATGTCTATTTTCACTGAAAGTACAAAAATCACTTCTGAGAAGCTGGCACAGCAGCCAGGGCCTGGCCTGTGCCTCTGCCTTGGGTGAACATGAGCCCTGAAAAGCTGAGTAGAAGGCAAGGCATGGTGGCTCACGCCTGAAATCCCAGCAATTTGAGAGGTTAAGGCAGGAAGACTGCTTGAGATCAGCCTGGCCAACATGCCAAAACTCCTCCTCTACCAAAAACATAAAACATTAGCTGGGCGTGGTTGCACATGCCAGTAGTCCCAGCTATTCTGGAGGCTGAGATGGGAGGATTGCTTGAGCCTCGGAGGTCAAGGCTGCAGTGAGCCCTAATTGTGCCACTGCACTCCAGCTTGGCAACAGAGCGAGACCCTGTCTCAAAAAAAAGAAAGGCTGAGTGGGGATGGCAGGGGTGGAGACCACCCAACTGGAGCCCACCTGCTGGGAGCTCACCTAGACCTCCTTGCTCAGAGCACACTGCTGGGGTGCCCACCGACCCCCGGGTGGAGCACAGGAGCCAGGCCACGTGCCATCCTGGAGGCTATGAAGGGACTGTCACTGAGGTCTGTGCCAGAGCACTTAAGCACCTTATGTTAATCTGCTCTTGGGACCACACGGAGATGCAGAATCAGAGGCCCCAGCTGAGGCCACAACCCCTTCATCACAATTGTCACAGACGCACTGTCCCGTCTCTAGCTCACCCATTCGGTGGTTGTTCCCACCACCTTCCAAGCTCAGCTCTGTCACCTGCCCCTCTGCCACCAGCCTTGACCGATGCCACTGACTTGCAGCTGGAGGACCAGAAGCTCTCTGTCCAGTTCTGTTTTCTCCTTTCTACATACTTAGCTTAAAGCTCCCAGCACTTCTGGGGGCAGCCCATGAATCCAAACTCCCCAAGAAGTTCTACAAGAGACATTTGGCGAGGTCACCTGCACCGGCTGGCAAATGACCTTCATGTGTAAGTTATGGTCCCGCCTTCCAAAGACGCTTCTCAAGGACGTGAATCCTTGTTTGATGATCTGACCCAACCCAGAAGAGAACAGACGAGTCTCCAACACTGAACGCTACGTGAACAACCATGGGGGGGACGGTGACGACACGTCGTCCATTTTGCTTACAATTATCTCCATTCCAACAGCTTTGCTCGATGGCCCCCAAACCCCTGGCCAATAAACGGCTCTGGTGCTTTGTTTTTTGAAAGCCTTCACTTTGCAATTCCTTTTAATCAAAACCTTTCACCTCTTTCAAAGTCATTGGCCTTTGAATCCTAACACTGGCCACGTAATCGAGAAGGCACCCGTCACACAGGTCCTTCGGACAGACCTCCCGGTCCCAGCACCCCCATCCTGCAGAGTTGAGACAGGCAGGTGGTGAGGAAAGCAGGTGAAAGGTCAGCTTGATGCAACAACATGCATTGCCAGTTTTCAAAACGCACCCCAGAAAAACCGAGATATGGGAATTGCCGCTCTCATATAAAACAAACAATAAAACTTGATATGTGACAACAGACTTCCAAGAAAATGACCTTTATAGCAACTGAAATATGTAAATAATTTCAGTGGGGCAGAAGCCTTTCAACATAGCAATCAGCAGGCATGGAGACACTAACAGATAAGCAGGTGGGAACGTGGGTAGGTAAGACATACAGGTTCCTTTGTGTGCTTTTAATAATGAAGATACAGAACTTTTTTTCTTTTTAAGATGAAGTTTCGCTCCACCATCCCTGTTGGAGTGCAGTAGCACGATCTCGGCTCATAGCAACGTCTGCCTCCCAGGTTCAGGCAATTTTCCTGCCTCAGCCTCCCAAGGAGCCGGAATTACAGGCATGCGTCACCATACCTGGCTAATTTTGTATTTTTAGTAGAGATGGGTTTTTACCAGGTTGGCCAGGCTGGTCTCGAACTCCTGATCTCAAGCGATCCGTCTACCCTGGCCTCCCAAAGTGCTAGGATTACATGCATCAGCCACTGCAGCTGACCCAGAACATTCCTTTTACCAAACCCTTTGGCATGTGCTAGACAATGTGATGCATATATATTTTTACATTAATGTATTTGACTAGCATTAGCTCATTTAACTCCCACTAGCACCCTAGGAAATGGGTACCATGGCTATCTCCATGCACTAATGAGAAAACCAGGTCTTAGATGCCAAGAAACTTGCCCAATGTCACATCCAGCAAACCTCAGGGCTGGAAATCAAACCCAGATCCAGGCCGGGCACGGTGGCTTACGCCTGTAATCCCAGCACTCTGGGAGGCCGAGATGGGTGGATCATCTGAGCTCAAGCATTCAAGACCAGCCTGACCAATATGGTGAAACCCTGTCTTTACTAAAAACAAAAAAATTAGCCGGGAGTGGTGGTGGGCACCTATAGTCCCAGTTACTAGGGAAGCTGACACAGGAGAATTGCCTGAACCCGGGAGGCGGAGATGGCAGTGAGCCGGGATCCACCACTGCACTCCAGCCTGGGTGACACAGCAAGAAACAAGCAAAAAAGCCCAGGTCCAACTCCAAAACTTACACTCTTAACTCCCAAAGTTAAGTGGTAGGTACTATACAAAAAAAGGCTACTTAAAATTCCTAAGGTTGCAACACAGTTATAAAATTAGGTCACCGTTGGAACCAAAATGACGTGATTGCAGCCGGGAATAAGACTGCACTAAGTACAAACACCATCAGTACCAACCGTCAAATGATTCCCATGCTGCAGTCTTCCTGCTAGAACTGCACAGCGCGCGTGCACACAGGAGCAGGCTCGGCCTTCTATTCAAACCCAGCCAACGCTGCCCATGTCCTCCAGCGGTAAACAACCGTGTTGGAAATCCTCTGAGAAAAGCTTACCCACGGGAAATGACAGCTCAGCTCAGCAGGAACACCAGGCAGGGTCTCTAGGAACAGAGAAAAGCGTGAGGCTGGAAGGCATGGGCCCCATCCCTGGAAAACTCGCGAAGACACTGTAGGCAGAGTGAGAAGCAGTGTCTCTGGCGAGGGACAGGGCAGTTATCACCGACAACACGTTCTTGGATGCCTGGGTGACCCATGCCTGGGAAGGTTCTGCCTGGCTAGAAAGCTCGTGTTGGCCTCCAGGACTGGCTCCAGCTTAGGGAAACCACCTTCCTAACATGCATGACTTCCAAGGCGGCAATCTGGCCTGACCTCCTCACTGCTGCCCGAGGGAAGCAGCAGGAAGGCTCTGGGAGGACACTGGCAGCCCAGGGGTTTCCCTAAAACCAGCAGGCACCTGCAGTAAAGTTCATGGCTCTGCTGAACTGAGATGCAGACAAAAAAATAGCAATAATGGGAAGAAAAAGCTCAGCTCCTCCCCGCACACAAGTGTGGGCCCATCCTCTCT